TAAATTTTCCTTAGCAACGGCTCGAAAAGATCGGTTAATGGGCCCTTAAAGTAAAAAAAAAAAAGAAAAAAAGACGCAAAGAAACAGTAAAGAATAACAACAGTTTTCTTTCAAGCACCAGCTCCTTTGCTCGCAATCTATACGGGGCTGTGCAAACTGAGGCACTTAATTGCCTCAGTAATTTTTCTCGTTTTTGTTTGAAGGGAGAACTGACAATAAACACCGCGAAATGCGTATTATGGACCTTGCCTCAGTCATAACTTGTTCTCGCTATGACCCTGCTTTATCTAACCCAGAATGTATCATTTAAAGTACGGCAAAGATGGCACATTGAAAAATAAGCTGTTTTTTTTTTCACACCTGTCTCTTTATTCTTCCTCATTTTGAACCATTCTTGTTTCTGTTCGGTTCATGATTACTATGCTTTTGATGTTTTCCAGAGTCAGTAAACTGTTATTCAGTCGCACTTTTCCTCCGATCGGAAGCGCAAAATAATGACTTTATCAAACTCCACTGATCTTTTACAAGTGGACTTCCTCTTGTTGCAGATACCTGTTTCGTCCATACTCCAAGCACGTCTGTTCCGGAGTGAACATTATCTGGGCTTTATTCATCGTGATTGGAGTCAGTTCAGCGTATTTTCACGCCACTCTCAGCCTGGTGGGACAGCTGCTTGACGAACTCGCCATCTTGTGGGGTTTGATGGTGGCGTTTGCCTTGTGGACGCCTAAGTGGATGCTCGCTCACGGACCGTTTGGGGAAGACAGGTATATGTTTTGAGCGGGTAAAGTGAATCAAATCTTACGCTGTGATTGGCTACTCGAGCGGGCAAGTGGGACTATCTTGCCCACTCGGACGGGTTTACCCGTTGTATCCCGCAAGATAATGGTGTTCTTCATCTTTTCAAGAGTAAACTTGTTTGGTCAAGATGGCTGGATATCACACGTTCTATCGCGTCAAACTTGACAAAGAGACTGAGAAAAGAGGGGCGGCTCGTAATTTACTCATATGCTTCTCCAACTCAATAATAAAGGAAATCATGGCCGTGACAGTGTTTGGATATCTCATCTTAATTAGCATAGATTGTCACAATGTTATTTCTCCGTTTTCTCCTTAGTTTAGGTTCGATTGAGAAGATATACCAATCATTCAAGCCAGTGTTTGACCACATTTCCAAACATGTTCTTTCGTGTTTGATATATTACTTCAGTCTAAAAAGCCAAAAATAAGATACCGCTCTCTTCTACTTTTCATATCAATATCTTGTTCCTCCGGGAAATCATTGAAGGCATTTTCGTATTCCTTTTTTTTTCAAACAGAGAGACGTTTCAGTATGCTATCCTGGCCTTATCGTTGATTTGTACTTGGCTGGGCTTTGTCTACCCTGTGGCTAACGCGTTCGTGTTGATGACCTTTGGAGCTCCGTTTCTGTTCATGCTGTTTGCTGAACTGAAAAGGTAACTTGTACTCTCTTTTCTCAGTTACAAGAACGTTTCAATGTAATGTTCGAACTGAGGCTCAACCCGAAATGATCTCATTTGTTCTCATCTTGGGTACATTCTAAGCACATTCTCTCTACAGCTTCTGGTACTATACCGTAAGTAAAATATAAGGCTTAAATACTACACACGCGAATCGATAAGTAAGAACGCTGGAAGTGTACTGGGAGGTCACTTGGCTTTCTGAAGATAAAAGTTGTTCTGCCTTGACGAGCAATTCGATTTGTTTTACGATATAATACTCGAAACGTCAGTAAAAGAAAACATCAAAGTTTTCGGATTATTTTTCCGTCCACAGCTGTCAAAATCTGAAAGTCAGGAGACTGGGATTTACGTGTGCTGGATGGTGGTTTGTTGCTGTGCTCTTCTGGGTGAACGACAGAGTATTCTGTGATATATGGAGGTCCGTGTCGTTCCCTTATCTTCACTGCGCGTGGCATATACTGATATTTATCGCCGGATACACTGGTTGTGTCCTCGGCGCTTACTTCTACGCTGCAACGGAGTTTCCACAGCTTCGCCCAGCGCTGACCTTCTGGCCTTGTTGGTCATCTGAATGGGGAGTTCCCTACATAGTGTTGAGGGGGATTCCAAAAGAAAGCAACCCGTGAGAAAACAATGTCACAGAGAGGGGAACTGTTTGGGTTTTGGACTCTTGCTAACGCTGCTACCTTGAACCAGGGATAACGCTGATACGGCAATGGAAATATTTTCACGTGGAGACTACAGTGGCACTGTTTGGAATACACACCAACAAGCTATGTTACCACAAATTCAGCTCACAAGTTGAAGAGGGCCATGCTAGCAAAGAACAGGCAGAGTTGACTCGACGAAGCAACTGAAACAGGGTGTCAAGAAAGAAAAAAGCTCTTTTTGTCACACAAAATGCAAATAAGCGAGAAAAGTTAGAATGGAAAACTCCAATCACAAGATGTTCAAGTTATTCTTTACTCACGGCTGCATTCATAACGGCACGAAAGCCGCATCTCAAAATGCTACCAGAGGAAATTACAGGCACAAGATAGGATATTGAACTAGCTTATTAAGCTTCAACAGAAAATAAGCCCGAATAACAAGCGGCAGATAAATTATCAAAATCAGTCATGTACGTCAATTTGAGCATATATCATGTACACTTTATTTCAAAAACTATAGCAATAATATAATATCTATTAATACAATACTCTAGGCTATACACTTTAGATATATAAATAAAGGTACAGTTTACAGATTACGGTGTACTTATCATAATTTCTCTTTTATGTCATGAATTACGCCATTTAAACAGTGCATCGATCATTTACATAACTGAGTAAAAACGACTCATTTCAACTTAGAGGATTTAAAATACTGTTGCGTCAAAACCATGTTTATAGTGTACGCGATGTTTTAAAAGCCCAGTCCAAACGAGAAATGTTTGGCCACTAAACACGATCAAACATTTTTCCGTTTGGACATCACCTTGTTTGATCGTGTATAATAGAATCTGAACGCCGACAAACAATGGATCACACATTGTAAAACATGTTGTTCGTTTGGACACCGACCATGTTCAGACATGTTTGATACTGGTACAACATCAACATGTTTGGTCACCAAAAACAATGTTTGATCGAGTTTGGTCGCCAAACATTTCCCGTTTGGACAGGGCTTCAGTCACTGGTAAATGTTCCGTCTGCTGGTGTGAAGAAATTCGAGTTTCAAAGAGCCAAAACCTCTCTTGGAGTTGCTGCTATTTAAAACCAGCCAGGGAAACATGCTCACAAAATGAACTTTGCATTCAAAACGTACAGCATTTGTAGATGGGCAAAGACAGATTTCAAAGGAGAGTCTGTCATTTGAATGGTTGTATTTGGAATGACAGTCTCGTTGCACTTGCTTTGCAACCCGAAGATGAAGTAACGATGAATCGCGATTCAAAGCCGCGTCAAACACAAATGTTGGTCCACACAAGAATCTTTGGCCAATGTAAGCCGCGTATTTAAAGGCATCCAGGCCAACCTTTTTTCCAATTCATGTTCAGTAATGACACATAGAGAGGATGCACGGTATGGTTCTGTACACAGGACGTCTAGTCGTGTCTAGGTAACCTTGATGCTTTCAAGACTTGGTGAGATATTAAGCGTGTGCCATGCCTAAAGGAAAGTCGAAGTTAACTCGTGTTAAAACTTGTGCCATCAATTTACGTGGGTATTCTTTTCAACACAGGACGTCTAGTCGTGTCTAGGTAACCTTGATGCTTTCAAGACTTGGTGAGATTTTAAGCGTGTGCCATGCCTAAAGGAAAGTCGAAGTTAACTCGTGTTAAAACTTGTACCATCAATTTACGTGGGTATTCTTTTCAACCTTGCTGCTTTTCACTTCAAAACGAGGCTTGGAGATAGCCTACGTGTAGCCGTACCCACCCCCCGAGGAAAAACGGGAGGGAGGGAACGTCTACG